ATGAATGTAGGGGCCTGGGTGGGACTGTAGTGGAGAGTCTGTGCCCCATCTGAAAGGACAGTTACCTCTCTTCCAACCAATTGTTGCCCAGTGCAGCCGGCTCTTCCCCTTTTCCCAGAAAGGCGAGAGATCTGCATTTTTGGCGTAGTATCTCTTAATTTTGGAACTACTGTCGAGCATTAGTCAGGGTTCTTTGTTACCAATGACACAATCTACTCTAGGTAGTTTAAGCAGAAGTATTTTAATAGGGTGGTGAATTGTGGTCCCTCTTCCCTGCACCAAATCATATGTTGAAGCCCTAACCCTCAATGTAACTGTATCTGGAGGTAGGATCTTTAGGAGGTAATTAAAGGTTAGATGATGTCTTAAGGGTGGGGGCTTAATCCAATAGGACTACGGCCTTACAAGAAGAGGATGAGAGAGAAGGAGAGAAAACGATAGATCTTTCTCTCTCTCTTTACCAACAAGAAGGTGGCCATCTGCAAGACTTTAGAAAGAGAGCCCTCAACAGAACCCAGAACCTGACCATGCTGGCATCCCAATTTCAGAATTCCAGTTTCCAGAATAGTGAGAAAATAATTTTTTTTTTTTTTGAGATGGAGTCTCGCACTGTCCCCCAGGTCGGAGTGCAGTGGCATGATCTTAGCTCACTGCAACTTCCACGTTCTGGGTTCAAGTGATTCTCCTGCCTTAGCCTCCTGAGTAGCTGGGATTACAGGTACCTGCCACCATGCCCAGCTTTTTTTTTTGTGTGTGTGTTTTTAGTAGAAATGGGGTTTCACCATGTTGGCCAGGCTGGTCTTGAACTCCTGACCTTGTAATCTGCCTGCCTTGGCCTCCCAAAGTATTGGGATTACAGGCATGAGCCACTGCGCCCAGCGAGAAAATAAATTTCTCTTGTTTAAGCCATCCAGTATTTTGTTATGGCAGCCTCTAAGACAGGTGGTTGAAAACTCTGTAGAATCTCCAGGAGGACAAGAGAGCCAGGTTCTGTCTGTGCAGCCAGAAATGACTCCCAAACCAGCTGTAGGGCTGCCCCCTGTGAACACGTGACATGCCTTTCACCATGGATACCAAGCTTACACAGGGGTGGAGCACCTGGAAGCAGAGGCCTTGGCTGCCAGGCTCACTACCAGATAGATTCCTCTCTTTTGTTGCTCACTTCCTGGCAGAAATCTCCTGTGATCTTCTAATGGCACAGCCTAGATCACATGTGACCTGTTTGCAAGGAAGGTTCTGGAAAAGTGCTTTCGCTTCTGTGAGGGAAAGGTGGAACTCATAATGTGAGGCATTTTCCAAACATAAGAAGAAGATGCGTTTGTGTGCCGCTTACAGCCCTGCCAATGGATGACATTTGACTTGTGGGCTACTTTCATTGTTTAAACTTCCACTTCTGAGAACAACTAGAAAAGCCAGATTAAATCATCATCATCATCACCATCTGTTAAAAGACATTCAGAGAACTGCTGAAATAACCAGGACTAAAGAGGCCAAGATTCTGGAGACAGGGACACTCTGGTGTGGTGAGCTGACATTCTGCAGCTGATTTTTCCCTGGGGATATTTGCACATTTGGGCACAGGGAAAGAGGCCGAGTTTCTAGACTCTGCCCAGGCATGAAGGCTGCTTTGGGGGAACAGAGAAACTGACAAAACTTTTAGCAACCTCATAGGGCTAGAAAGACAAAACTGGAGACTCGAGAGGCTATTGTCCCAGGGAGAAGCGAGGGGCAGAAAAGTGAGCCTGATAGATGGTGGTTTTCCCCTCAAGATATTTGGCAAAGTCTGAAATAGTGCAGGGCAAGAAGCAAAGACGCCATGCAGAAGGTCCCTGAAAAACAGAGCCATTTCCACAGTCTTGTCGTGCTGTGAAGATAAGGGTTAGAGCCCAGGACCAGAGAGAGGGGACTTAGTGAACACCCAAGGTTCCTGGTTGGAACCCTGGAAAGGCAAAGCATTAGAGATAGGGGACAGAGTGAAGTGGTGTCTTTTCAAAACTATAACCCAGTCTGCACCCAGCTCAGCCCCTGATTGGATTAAGATAATTGATCTGTATGCAATTTATCTTGCAGAGAAAGAGTGTGTCCTCTCCAGACTTAGATATTATCACCTCGAGTCTGTACATTTTTTCATACACAATGTCTGACATTCAATAAAAATTACAAGGCCTGCCAAGAGACAGGACCATATCACTGAAAATAAAGGGAAAAATAGTCAATAGAAAGAGACCCACAGGTCATCAAGTTTTTGGAGTTAGACAAATGCTTTAAAATAACCATAATTAACATGTTTAAGAAAAACTAAACGATGGAGAAAATAGATGAAAAGAGATAATTTTACCAGACAACTGGAATTCATAAACTTCATGGTCCAAAAGACGGAGAACATAGAGAACTTACTTCATCTGCTCATTGACAGATGTTGAAAATACTGACTCAGTTCTGTATAGCTATAAAATCCCATGGCTTACAGTATTTTTTTTCTTTTTCTTTTCTTCTTTTTTTTTTTTTTTTTTTTTGAGACAGAGTTTTGCTCTTGTTGCTCAGGCTGGAGTGCAATGGCACAATCTCAGCTCACTGCAACCTCTGCTTCCTGGGTTCAAGCAACTTTCCTGCCTGGGAGTAGCTGGGATTATAGGTGCCTGCCACCACGCCTGGCTAATTGTTTGTATTTTTAGTAGAGACGGAGTTTCACCATGTTGGCCAGGCAGTCTCAAACTCCTGAGCTCAGGCTATTCACCTGCTTTGGTCTCCTAAAGTGCTGGGATTACAGGTGTGAGCCACCATGCTGGGTCAGCGTACAGTCTTAAAAAAAAAAAGTGTGTCGAGGGAGAGCATCAGGAAAAATAGCTAATGCATGCTGGGCTTAATACCTAGGTGATGGGTTGATAGGTGCAGCAAACCACCATGGCACACGTTTACCTACGTAACAAACCTGCACAACCTGCACATTCACCCCAGAACTTAAAAATAAAGTTTGTCATTCAACTTGGCCACCACTGGCTCCTGTTCTTTCTGCTTTTCAAGTGGCTTCATTTAAGGTTGATATATTATACCATGTGTTCTGAGTATCACTCCTTACTCAGTCGTCAGCTCAGGGCTCTGTTCACCTGGAGAAAGGTGCCTTTTGCTAATTATTCTAAATACATCTGTTGGGCAACGTGTGTTGGGAATACTATTAGATAAGGTGATTAAGGAGATGAGGCCTCTCCGAGATGACATTTGAGTTAGCAGTGACAAGAAGAAACCCACCAGGAGAGGATTAGGGTGAAGCATGTTCTGGGCACGGTGGACATAGAGTGCAAAGATTTAATCAAGAGTCAGCAAATCTTTCTGTAAAGTGCCAGGCAGTAAATCTTTCAGGTGTTGTGAACCACCGGTCTCAGCTGCAGCTACTTAACTCTGCTTTACAAGGCAAAAGTAACCACAGACAATAAACAGATGGATGGTGGTATTCCAACAAAACTTTACTTGTGAACACTGAGATGTGAATTTCACATAATTTTCACGTGTCACAAAATATTCTTTTGATTTTTTCCAGCCATTTTATTTACATTTTTAATTTTTGAATTTTTAGTAGCGACAGGGTCTTGCTATGTTGCTGCCTAGGTTGGTCCGAAACTCCTGGTCTCAAGTGATCCTCCTGACTCCGCCTCCCAAAGTGCTGGGGATTACAGGCGTGAGCCACCGCGCCAGGCTTTCAACCATTTCAAAAGGTAAAAACATATTAACCATGGAGCCATCATCTGCTGTTATAACGTCAGTTAGGTATGCTGGGGTCAGGCCACACAGACCCTTGCAGGACATGGGAATACTCAGAATAAGGCAAAGGCCCTTTTCCCTTCCAAATGGAAAGCCATCAGGGCGGGCCAGGGTACCAAGTCTAGGAGGCAGCTTCCTGAAATTCACGGAAGATCACCAGGTTCGCTTTATTTTTTCCCCAGTAACAAGAAAGGACAAACGAACAAAAAAGGCACGCACACACACACCGAGCCAAAGACAGAGAAGACGTGCCCAGGTTCACGCCGACGCCTCTCTGGCGCGCACCGAAGGTTTCAAAGTTGGGCGCACACCTGCTCCCAGCCGGAGCGCACCTGCTGAGCAGCACGCCAGCTCGGTCTCGCGAGAGCGGTGCAGGAGTAGTGGCCCCCACCCCCTCCCCGCCACCGACTCCCTCTCCCCGCCCCCTCGCCCAGCCTCCAGGCTCGGGCACACTCCCTGCCTCCTCTGCCGCCCCCGGGAGCAGGCTGGGCCCGATGAGCGCTCTGTCTCCGCGCCCCCGCCCGCCGATCGCTCGCTTGCTCGCTCGCACGCACTCCCGGTAGTAATTTCACTTTGCCACGCGAGCTCCGCAGCCCCTAGAAATCCCGCCCCCCGGCCCTGTCCCCGGCCAGGTGCGCGAGCCTGCGCGCTCCTCCTCCGCCTCCTTCGGCGGGTCCCTGGCGCGCCGGGGCCGGGGCCCGGCTGGGGCGGCTGCGCGCACGGCGCCTCTCCACCAACCCGCTCCCCTGCAGGTCCCTCGCTCGCTCTCCATCCCTCTCCGGCGCTCCCTCGCTCCCCCCCGCCCTTTGATTGACAGGCAAGATGTCGGTGTGGAGCGAGGCAGGAGCTATTGCAGCAACCGTCACCCCCGGAGCCTGGCGGCGGCAGCAGCAGCAGCAGCAGCGCGGGGAGGAGACAGCAGCCAGCCGCAGTAGCCGCCGCAGCCGCGGGAGCAATGCAGACAGCACCTTGAGAACGCGCTAAAGCACTTCCAAACCGTGGACCATGCCGTGTCCCTGCAACTGGGAGGGGGGCAAACCAGATTTTTTTTGACATAAAAGCAAGCCAGCCAAAAATATATAATTTTGTCCTTCAAGGAGCCGGTGTGTAAAGAGTGAGCGCTATTTTCCTTCTCCTCCTCCTCTCCCTCCTCCTCCTCTCCCTCCTCTCTCTCCTCCTTCTCCTCCTCTTTTTCCTCCTCCTCCTCCTCCTCCCTAAGTATACAGACAGCATCACATCACCTGGTTTGCTTCTGAGAAACAGCATCTCTCCTTTTCAGGGACCAGAGACTCAGAGAGGAGACATTCTAATGGAGTCCGCTTGATACCCCAAAATAAAATAATAAATTTTGGCTCTTGTCCCCTCCTCCCACTCCCACCCCCTCAACCCTGTGTGAGATGTTGGATTTCTTCTTCATGAGACATTGTTGAGAAGTCGCAGTGGTTGGAGAGGCGGAGGGGTAGACTACCTCTACTCCCCCCCCCCCCTTTTTTCTCTCTGGGAGGAGGAGGAGGGGAAGGGGGTTGCAGAGCAAGCGATGGATGAGGAAAACATGACGAAAAGCGAGGAGCAGCAGCCTCTGAGTTTGCAAAAAGCCTTACAGCAGTGCGAACTGGTCCAAAACATGATAGACTTGAGCATCTCCAACCTGGAAGGTCTTAGGACCAAATGTGCTACCTCCAACGACCTCACACAAAAAGAAATCCGGACCCTGGAGGTAGGTGTTGCCTACAGAAAAAAAAAAAAAAAAAAAGCAATCCTTCTTTCCCCCTCCTTTCTCCCCACGGTCCCCTTTCCCTCTGACTCTGTTTATTGGGGGCTGGGGGTGATGGTGCGGGCAAGCAAGGTGGGCACGGTTTGCTTTTCTGTGATTTCTCTCCTTGCACAGCCTGCATTGGATATCCTTTTACTGTGCTGCTGTCGTCTGCGCTTGGCTGGGTGGTGGTAGTAGTAGTAGTAATTGTTATTCTTTATTTATTATTATTGTTGCGGCTGTTACCGTTATCATTCGCTTCCCGGCTGAGGAGGGAGTTCTCTCTTTTTTCCGCTTGTGGATTTGTTTATATGCCACGGGGGCTTGTGTGCCGGGTAATACATTAAGGAGCTGCAGAGAACCCACGTGACCTTGCGCATTCTGCAGGTGGTCAAAAGGTGGTTTTTGCTCGCAGAATGGGGCCGCCTGTCATTGTAGACCTCTTCTTCTCTTGGCCTTCTTCCCCGCCCTCCTTTTGCTCCTTAGATTTTTTTTTTTTTTTTTTTTTTTAATCAGTGATATACATGTCAGGAGGCAAGATGCATGAGAAAAAATCCCTATGGAGCTACCCATTTCCAATCCAATCGTTTTGATGCAGTGAGCTGTTGCAGGCCTAAAACGTATAAAAGGAAAAAAAAATATGCCTCAATCAGCACACATAGGTGGTGTAGGAGAATACTCCTGAATCTCAGTGGGGCTGCGAGGAAAGAGGAAAGGGGTCGGGGAGGAGGAGTTATCTTTGGCTTCTTGTAACATTCTCTCCGGCAGAACTTGAGGGGGAGTTTGAAACAGTTTTTTGGGGGAGTGGGATGGGATGAGGGATGGATGCAAAGTTACTCAGAAAGAAGATGGCAGAAATTAGTTTTTTCTGAAGGCCATTTGGTCAAAGGAGGAAGGTTTAAAGAGCCTTAGAAACTGCCAAATGCCTGGTGTTCATGAGATCATTGGACATCTGCATTGTTCAAAATGTTTGAAGGGTTCAACTCACTTCCTTCTCTCAAACCAACTCAGCTATACACATGGGTTGATTAAATTTCGGAACTTCCATTAGCTGGCATCCACCAAGGGTGGGGGCAGTGGGGCTGGGAGAAAAGGGGTTCCCCCTGTGGTGGAGTGGGCATGAGCAGTGCTGAGACGTTCATCTTGCTTCTGGCACATGAGTTCCCAAGGCCTGAACTCGTCAGTCCCTAGTGAATCTTGTAGCCCTCCTGCCCCTGTTCTAGCCTGGATAGGTGCTTTTCTTGGATTCACTTTGGGTCTTTCTTTTTCTTCCGTGATTTTAAATTTGGCTGGATGTCAACATGCAGGAGGTCATCCCTTCAAAAGGAGAGAGAGAGAGAGAGAGAGAGAGAGAGAGAGAGAGAGAGAATGCTGTTTGCTACCCTAGGATGCATGTCTGTGTGCACCTGTCATCTGGAAATGTGATCCTCAGAGACGAAATAAGATCAATGTCAAGGTGTATCGGGAGAGTGGGAATTGTGTTGGGAGGCACAGGTATTGCCTTTCCTGGAGCTTGGGAGAGCAGGGGAGGCCAGAGCTCTGCTGTTGGAAGAAAAAGTGTAGGATCCAGCCTTCTGTCTCTGCCTGAACATTACCCAAGAGCAGACTCTTCAGACCTGCATGCAATCAATACATAACCCCAAAAAAGCCATGGAGCTCTCTTCTGTTCCTCTGAGTCAGGAGTCCCAAATGCTAGTTTGTGTATTCCTGTGTAAGTTTCTTCGAAGTTTTCTTTTTCTTTTTTTTTTTTTTTCTGTTTCAAACATGCTCCATCCTCTGATAGCTTCCTGGATGGTGATGTGCCGCAGTGGGCATTGCCTTCTTTCTGCATAGTGGTTTTCCTTTTAAACTGGGGGGATGGAGGCACTGGTAGGATGGCTATGGGGGAGTTGCAGTTGTAGGAAATGCATCTGTTTTCAGTTCCCTCGTCCCAGTATGCTACAGAGCATGCCAACCACTTTCATCCATCTTGCCCAGGGAATGGTCTTGAGCAATGACTCCAATTTCTATTTCCCAGATTTGTAGGGTTAGGGAGGGTCCCTGCACAGGGGCTGGTAACTCAGGGTCCAGACGAGTCCAGCCAATCCTAACATTTGGGTGCACGGAATTTTCTAATTTTGTATATCAGAACCATATGAGGGTGCTTGTTAAAATGCAGATTCTCAGCTTCTCTAACCCTAGAGATTCTAATTTAGCTGGGTTTAGCGAGAGGGCCAAGAAATCTGCGTATAATAAACAGTCCAGGTATTTCTGACACATGTTTTCAAATGGACACTTTGAGATGCTAATCCATTAGGAGAAAGATATGATATTTCAGCTATTTAATGGTGAAAACTCACTGCTTGCTAACACGAATGCAAGTAATAAATTGAATAGATGATCCCTGAAAAGGGTGATAATGAACAGCATTTAATAGCAGGTATACACTTCTGTAGAAACAAAAATAGGCAAGGTGGACTTGGCCTTCAGGACGCATACTTCATGACAGAATAATGTGTATGTGAAATAATGATAAAGTCCAAGTGGTAAATAATATGGGGGACAACGTGTGGGCCCATTAGGCCTGTTTTTGTTCAGCTGCATGAAATGGAAAACCCAGTCACAGCGGTAAGGCAAATAATGGTTTCTCTTCATGTAACAAGAATTCTGGAGACATATAGCTGCTTCGGTTGGCTCAGTAGGTCAGTAATACCAGGGCTGATGTCTTTGGGAATTCTCATGGCTTTTCTCTTGTGGTTGCAAGATGGTTCCTGCAGCTTCAGCAATTACATCTGGGTTCAAGGTAGCAAAGAGGAGGACCTGGCGAGTGTGAAGGAATAAAGGGTTCCCCAGGACATCTCTTCCTCCTCACCTTGCAGATGATTTGATTATATCTTCTTGGCCAGAACTGAGTCCTAGCTGCAAGGGAGCCCGGGAGGTGGGGAAGTGGGAACACCACCATGATCGGCTTAGATGGATCATGATCCATTGCCTGAAATGACATGTTGCCACTCCATGCAAAATCAGGGCTCTGCTAGTGTGGAAGGAGGCACAGGTAGATATTAAGTAAGTGGACAGCCAGCGATGGCAGCCATGGCACATTATCAGAAGATATTTTGGTGGAAAAGAAAGTTCGTGAACTTTGAGTCAGACTGATATAGTTGTAAATTCTATCTTTTCTTTTTACTTTATCTTGGGCTGGTGATTTAAGTTTTCTGATTTATAGTTTTAAGTTTTTGGCAAAACAGCAATAATTAAATAATATTGCCTGCTTCAGAGGGTGGTTATAAGGATCGAAAGAGATAATGTTTTCAAGGGTCTAGCACTATCTGGAACAGAGTGGCTGCAGGTGTTAATGAATGACAGCTGTCATGATGATAACGATTGGCATTAGATGGTGTTGACTAGATGGCACGGAAGGGAGCAGTTCAGATTAGAGAGAGAGGAGGAGGAGCTTGAATAACATTTCCAAAGTATGTTCTGTAGAACCCTAAATCTGGGATGTTAGCATTTTTCATTCTTTCAACAAATGCTGACATCCAGGCACTGTACTTAATGCTGGTAGTTAATAAGTGTTCTGTGGACAAAACAAATTCTATGGTTAATAAGTTTGGGAAGAGTTGAACTAAGCAAAGGGAAACAGGCATCTTTACTGCAGGACTTCTCAGAGCCTTTAATATGCTACCTATGTGTATTAGGCCTCCAAGAGAGGATAGAATGGAGTCTTGCTCTGTTACCCAGGCTGGAGTGCAGTGGCGCGATCTCGGCTCACTACAGCCTCCGCCTCCTGGGTTCCAGTGATTCTCCTGCCTCAGCCTCCCGAATAGCTGGGATTACAGATGCACACCACCACGCCCAGGTAATTTTTGTATTTTTAGTAGAGATGGGCTTTTGTCTTGTTGGCCAGTTTGGTCTTGAACTCCTGACCTCCGGTGATCTGCCCGCCTAGGCCTCCCAAAGTTCAGGTGTGAGCCACCGCACCCCGCCCGAGGATTTCTCTTGGGATTTTTGTTCCATAGAATACACCTGGGAAAACATTTGGCAAAGCAGGGAAACCTTCTTGGCTGGGGAGATGGGGATTTGGAGTGAAGGATGAGGAGGGTTTAGATTGCAGCAAAAGGGGAGAGCTTGCTGGACAAGGACAACGAACTAGATGAAGGTATTTGAATGCCATCATGGGGGCAGCCTAGAGACCATTTTGCCCAGAATGGAGGGTACCTGGTAGCCTGTCATAGGAAATGAATTTAGGCCACTAACTTTTGGGATCCAACTAAAGATTAGAGAGTCAGACCAACAAAGTTTCATCCCTTTGCGGAAGGAGATAGAAGTCTTCAAAGCTTTTGGAATGAATATAATAGAAAAGTATAAGCTTTTTTGTTTTGTTTTTCTGAGGCAGGGTCTCATTCTGTAACTCAGGCTGGAGTGCAGTGGTGCAATCATGGCTTACTGCAGCCTTGACCTCCAGGGCTCAAGTGATCCTCCTGCCTCAGCCACTTGAGTAGCTGGGATTACAGGTATGCACCACCATGCTTGGCTAAGTTTTTGCATTTTTTTAAATAGAGAGAAGGTTTTGCTATGTTGCCCCAGCTGGTCTTGAACTCCTGGGCTCAAGCGATTCACCTGCCTTGGATGGCAGCCTACAGCAGGGGCTGGCAAACTTTTTCTGGAAAGGGACAGATGGTAAAGAGTTCAGGCTTTGTGAACCCTGCAATTTTCATCAAAGCTGCTTGACTCTGTGCTGCAGCATGCAGCAGCCATGGGCGGTACATACATGAATGGGTGGGGCAGTTTTCTTTTTCTTTTGAGACAGGGTCTCGCTCTGTTGCTCACGCTGGAGTGCAGAGGTGTGATCTTGGCTCATTGCAACCTCCGCGTCCCAGGTTCAAGCGATTCTCTTGTCTTGGCCTCCTGAGTAGCTGGGATTACAGGCCTGCGCCATCACACCTGGCTAATTTTTGTATTTTTAGTAGAGACGGGGTTTCAGACCAGCCTATTGGCCAGGCTGGTCTCAAACTCCCAACCTCCAGTGATCCGCCCACCTCAGCCTCCCAAAGTGCTGGGATTATAGGTGTGAGCCATCAAGCCCAACCTGGGGGGAGGCAGTTTTCTAATAAAACTTTATTTATGGACCCTGAAACTTGAAATTGATATACTTTTTGCATGTCATGAATATTTTTCTTTTGTTTTTTTTATATTCATAGTTGTACAAACT